GACCCCCTGTCCCACAAGCCATAACTAGAGCTTTAACTGGACAAGAGACTGGCATCAACAACTTTCTCCTGAAAAGAGACCACCAACTATGACTGGTTCTGGCCGGTTTACAGAGGCCGTGCACCTGAGTGCCTTATGTCCATTGGACATATAGGGCCTAATTGTAATATATTTAAATGTTAACTCTCCATCCCAAGGTGAACATGGGTAGTATGTATCATGCATGTTTGTTCAATATGCATTCATCAGGACTACCACCATGAATATTCATAGCTCCTCTTATAACCTGTTGAATATGTATACTGGCCAACCCATTCAGCATAAATCCCTGTTCCCCTCCGTCCAAGTGCCTGTTTCCAGGCTCTGCCAGAGGCTAAGCTTCCCAGCCAGTCAGAATGGCCATCTTGCAGGCTGAAACCCTTTAGAAGAAATAAAGCTCTCCTTTAGAAATTTAGAAATTCTGTGATTTTTAAGTTAACAGACCCTATGATTCACCTCACAAATGCTTTGCTACTAATCAATAGTAGGATAAATCGGATTTACACTGATACATTTCACAATTGCTTAAGTAGACTCTGAACTTTAACACTGCAAAGAAACTTGTTCATGTAGTCTAATCCTACATATTTAAGGAATCTGAGACCCATGCACTTAAACTCATTTTCACACAGATTACTGGCAGAATCATGATTCAAATCCTGATTTCTTAACTCTCATTCTAATGTTTTTTCTCTGGGCTGCTTTCTGTACACCTAGTTTATAAATTACTGGAATATGATGCTAGCACAGTGAATGTATATGATATTTAAGTAAAAAAAAAAAGAAAAAGAAAAAGAGGGAGAGGGGCATAAAAAAAAGAAAAAGATATGTAAGTACCTACAAGTTACTTACCATCTACGGATTTGGATTTTAAACTTTTTACTTTTGGAGGCCATTCACACAAATTTCAAAGCTCCTGAGAAATTCTTTGAGGAAAGTTTAGGAATGGAAGACTTGGGGGAAAAATCATCTTTTCCCCCAAACAGGGCACCCTCACTGCCTTAGAAGTTCATCATCTCAAGCATCTGGTAACTTTGAATACTGCAAATCATTTTAGTCCTTGTCACTCTAAGCTAAGAAACCTATGAATCCTACAGATTCATTCATTTTTAAATTTTAAATTGCCTTTGGCATTTTTCCCCTTTTGTTCTATTCCCACTTTTATCATAGCATTTCAAACTCTCGTATGTCTTCAAAAGACTGGGTTTATGCATTCCTTTCATATAAAATTGTAAAGTCTAGTTTTTCCTACTATATAAAAATGTAAGTGAGATTATGTATGTATGGAAGATAATAAAAGGATCCTCATGCTGTTTGGATGTTTTTGGAAAATCTGTTAGCAATCACATTGCTAAACACATACACACCTCTGCAGTGAAATTATTCTCCTGACTACCATGATCTTACTAAACTTTTACACCCTCTGAATGAATTATACCTTAACAAAAACTTGACAAGTTTTATTACTGAATCATTATATCAACCGATACCAATTTAAAGCATCATTAATTTTTATATATTTTTTATGACTTACCTAAACAGTGTTTTGCAAGCCTTGAAAGTAACTCAATCTTAAAGTCTTAAACTCTATTTCTTATTAGATTTTCAAAA